CCGTCACCTTACGAATGGAACAAGGAGCATCCCAAAATATCGCTCCCATCCCCAAACCCCCCCTGTCAACTTGCATCAGTCAACGTCGCATTTCCCTGTGCGAAGCTTCATATCTAATAGGCGCGTCAACGCCACTTTGGACCATGGCTAGTCTCTGCGAGGGAAGGATCTGCAGAGCCGTTTGTGATGAGGGGGGTGGTCCCTCAGCCTATCTTCTTTGCCTCAAGCCTCTCGTTCCTGTTCCTGCGCACCCTGGTCAGTTGTCTGTGGAGATGAGGTTGACGGGGGATTCACGGCTCCGGCGCCCGAGGGCAGAAGCTCCCCGTCAAGTTGTTGCCTATCACAGCGCACGGACGTGGCGGACCGTGACGGACCTCCTTATTCCAGATTAGTGGATTTCGTCATGGCAGGGATTAACGTTTAGTGTGGATCTGCTATTCGTACGTACAATAAAATGTGCGATGAGGAAGGTACATACTTACTGGGCAAGTACGAGTGGGCAATTTGAGAGTGAATGTGATGGTGGTGGTGATGATGATTATGGCAACGAAACAATTGACAGAACACAGGGGGTTTTCCCTCACACTTCACAGACTCTCTTACTCTCTCTCGCCAATTCAAGAGACTCTCTTGGGGGGACTCCATTCAATTATCGTGTACTTGTCTCCTTCTTGCTCCTGCACCCTCCACTTCCGTCCTCCTGCATATCCATATATCCCTCGTACATAAGTGCCCGCAGTTTCCCCCCTCCCCGGCTGTGAGAACTTAATCGGAGGCCTGGCCACCTGGCTCACTTAACCGACGGAAATGTTCTGCCCCAAACTCTCACCTTACCTTGGTCAAGCCCCTCTTAATTTCTCGTGGATGTGATAGCTACCTAGCTATGTGGTCCTTACGTCCACAAGAATGCATGGCCACTAGTCTGTCGACAAGGGCCTCCTTCGAACGCAATGGGTGTCGAAGAAAGTCGCAAGTTGTTTGACTCAGTGTTCGTCCTCTTCTCTGTGTTCGAGACCGAAAATTGCCGCTGCTGCCGCTAATGCATGTAGGTTACGACTTATCATGCACGTCCCACCTCTCTCCTATCCCACTACGGTGGCATTGGTTTCAAGCCTCTCATGCACTGTACTGTGCATAACTCGTCGTTCAAGGGTTGGGAGGCAAATAGATCAGCGGGAATCTTGCCCGAAACAATGCAAGTCAAGAAGACAAGGGGGTTGGCACGGTGTGTGGACACTGGCAGCGTGGCTGAACCATTCGATACAGGGCACGGCCGTGAAACTGTATGATTAGGTACTGAATGGAGTAGGTGCTGGGGTGGTTTCTTCCCACCTCCCCGTGGCATGGAGCAGAGCAACCCATGTTTAAACTAGGGAGACGACGAAGGATCTCGCGAGCAGCGCGAGCAGTTCGCTTCATAACCGTAGGAGTCGTAGTCACAGTCGTAGTTAGTGGCCACGCATAGCGCGAGAAACGCTTACCCCGTCGTGCCCTTGTACCGAGTACGAATTGATCTGCCACATGGCAACCGACCTGACTTGACTGACCTCCCCTTTCCACCACCACCATCCTCCTTTCAACAACTCTTCCTCGTCCCTTTTTTCCCTTTTCCCCCACCGGCAACCATCTTTCCCTTTTTTTCCTTTTCTCTTTCTGCTTTGCGTCTTCTCAAAAGTTTCCCCTCGGACAAGACAAACATGGCGGCGTCGTTCCACCTCGATGGCAAGCAGATGAAAAATGTGAATGTCACGGATGCGCCAGGCTCGCCTCCAGACGGTGCTTCGGACGAGGTCTTTGACGATGGACTCAGCCATGTGGCCGAGAAGTTTAGAGGCACCTCGGCCGACAAGCGAGACATGATGATCATGGGCAAGAAGCAAGTGCTGCGTGTAAGTGTGAGGTAGAGAGACAAAGCGGTGCGCGGGCTGACCGGTTCCTTATAGCGAAACTTCAGCTTCATCACAATGCTGGGATTCGCCTCGACTTGCATTGCCAGTTGGGAGGGTATTCTAACGTATGTAAAAAAAAATCCAGCTTCTCCCTTCTTCGCGATGTGGTTGAGCTGAATCTGATGCTCAACAATTCACAGATACCTCGGATTCGTCTTGACCGATGGCGGCCTTCCCCTCCTGTTCTGGGGCTTTATTGCATGTGGCATCGGCCAGACTCTTGTCTATGCCAGCGTTGCGGAAATGGCATCCATGTAAGTGCGAACAGTAATAGAGCCTTATAATGTGGTAGCACCGTCGCTGATCATCATCTGCTTTCGACAGGTCACCCACAGCTGGAGGTCAATACCACTGGGTGTCAGAGTTTGCTCCGCAACGGTTGCGAAAAGTCTTGAGCTACTACTCTGGTAAGTGGATTTGTGTTATATTGCTTGTGTTGTCTTGTTTGTCCTTGGCAACTGACAACCGCCTCTCAGGCTGGCTCACTGCTATCGGCTGGCAGGTGTATAATGCCAGTGTGTGTTTCTTGGTCGGCACCATGATCCAGGGATTGATCGTCCTGAATGACCCGACATACATCTACAAGAGATGGCACGGGACACTCTTGTCCATGTCCACCACCGTCTTTTGCATCTCTTTCAACACCGTGTTGGCGTCTCGGTTACCAATCATCGGTATGTACAGTCCCGGAGTGGCCGGGCAAGATCCAGTATTGTTTCGAGGCTGACTGTTCTGGGGTACAGAGGGAATGGTTCTGATCCTCCACATTGTGGGCTTCTTCGCCATCGTCATAACCCTCTGGGTCATGGCACCGCGTGCCGACGCACATACGGCGTTGCTCGACTTCACCAACAACGGCGGCTGGGCGAGCGACGGTCTATCGGCGATGATCGGGCTGCTGGCCCCCATGGCTGTGCTGGTTGGATATGACTGTTCCGTTCACATGTGTAAGTCTTTCTCGCGGCCAATCATCTGTCGATCCTCTTCCCAAGAAATGGGTCAAAGCAAAGCTAATCTCGTTGACTCTCTTACACCTTTCAGCTGAAGAAATCAAAGACGCCTCAGTCACGCTGCCTCGCGCCATCATGGGCTCTGTCACTGTCAACATTACCCTGGTCTTCGTCCTTATCACGACCCTGTGCTTCACGACAGGTGATCAGACCTCGGCGGCCACGTCAGCCACGGGCTACCCATTCATCCAGGTCTTTTATAACGCGACCAACTCGTTCGCCGGCACCAACGTCCTGACGGCCATCATCATCGTCATGATGGCCGCGTGCGCCGTGTCTGAGGTGGCGGCGGCGTCGCGGCAGATCTGGGCGTTTGCGCGTGATGGTGGGCTGCCGGGTTCGCCGTGGCTCGCGCGCATTTCGCCTGGGTGGAACATCCCATTGCCAGCGGTGACGGTAACGCTGCTGGTGTCGGCGCTGATCTCGCTCATCAACATCGGTTCAACCGTCGCGCTCAACGCCATCACCTCGTTGGGTGCCATTGCCACGCTCATCTCCTACTTCCTCACCATCGGCTGCGTGCTGTACCGACGCCTCACGGGGCCCGAGCTACCCCCTCGCCGCTGGTCACTGGGCCGCTGGGGTCTGCCCATCAACGCTGCGGCCCTGCTCTTCCTAACCCCGCTGATCTTCTTCCTGAGTTGGCCCCTGACAACGCCCGTCACGGCCGAGACCATGAACTGGTCGAGCACCATGCTTGGAGGCTCCCTGACCATCGCCACGGCATATTACCTGGTGCGGGGCAAGACCTCGTATGTGCCACCCGTTGTCCACGTCAAGCGCGACATGTGATGAAGCGCGAAAAAGCAGAGCAACCTGTGTTTATGTTTTTTTGTGTGTCTATATTTGTGCGTGCGTGCGTGCGTGTGTGTGAACGTGCGTTTATTTGGAAAATACCATGACATACAATATCGCCATTCTTTCGAATTTCTGGATATTACTGGGGAGATTTCCCGACAATGTACGTGCGTGGGTGGATTTTGACGGGGTGGTGAATTTTGGGTTCGGGAGCTAAGATCCATTTCCCGTTGAGCCTTTTTTTGTCCCGCAAAAGAACTAAGGAGGGCGGCGGCGAGCAAAAAATCCATCAAAATCCATCTTGTATAGACTTTTCACTTTTTGGAGTAAGGGAGAGAGAGGGAAGTGCCATGGGAGCAGGAGAGGCGAGAATGGGAGCGAGGCAGTCAGTGTATATAGAAGAGTGGAAGAGGGAGAGAAATGAGAAAATGCACATAGATGGAGACCCGAACATACCGAATATAATCGGGTATACCCGAGCATAGCCTATATTCCTCTCCTCTCGAGCATAAAAAATGGTGACAATCTATGTGTATGTGGGCGTACGTAGTAGACTATGTGTGCGCGTGTGTTTTAAATAGGGTTATACAAGGTATGAGATACCCAGGACTATATACCCTCGTGAGTCGCTACCGCGTGGACCTCTGATGGAGAAACCCAGTCACTTATTTCCTTAGGTACTTACCAATGTAGGCAACCGAAACCAGAAAGGGGGAAAAAAAAGCGAACTTGTTTCGTACTCGATACTCGATACCCCTAACACACAAAGATACAGGAAATGAAGTATGAGTATCAAGGGAACGTACATGCGCGGTATGTACAGGTGCGCTATGCGCGAATAGCAGGCAGACAGAAAAGCTGCAGGCAGTCAGGTAGGTGAAACGTAACAAGATAACGAGTAACAAGGTAACAAAGATAACATGGTATAAAAAGACAAATACCAGGCGATGCGCCTAGCCTTGGAATGTCATATCATGGTTATACAAAAGTCGCACTCGCTCGTCCGTCAGCATCGGCGGTGGAGCTGCTTGCCGTGTGCCTGCTCCGCAACGGCCCCTGGGTTGCTTTTGAGTAGTATATACAGGGCAGAAGACTCGGGACTCGTCCAGTGTGCCCTCCCTTTCTCTGCCACCCATCTGCCACTCACTCACTCGCTTACTCACTCACTCTGGTCGGGATAATATCGCCCAATGAAAAAGGTCTCGGACTTCTCTCACTGATCATCTCGACACGACCCTGTCCGTCATGATTGACTCACCCCTTCCCCATCCCCCAAGTCTGTCCACATGACCGACCCACCCGTGATGCCGCGCAGCTTGAGCGGATTCGACTTATCCACCCGCACGACTTTCTTGCCATTACCTTGGTCATCGTCCTCGATCTCAGCCGTCGACACACTCCCGACCAAGTACTTGAAGCCGCAGCGCTGATAGAACGGCTCGGTGTTCTTGGCGCCGATGACCACGGCGGGCAGCCCGTCCTGCCTGGCCCGGTCCAGACCCCAGGCGACCATTTTCTGGCCGAGGCCCCGACCCTGGTAGGCCGGGTGGACGGCCAACGTCGAGAGTTCCCAGTGGTTGGGGCGGGTGAAGAAGCGGGCGGAGAAGGGCTCCAGGCGCGACGCAAAGTTCCATTTGTTCAGCGGGTTGGGGTCCGCGAGCGAGGCCGCGGCGATGGACCGGTTGCGGAACAGGAAGCGATGGAGGGTGTAGAAGAATCCAATGACGGGGGAGATCAGTCTTCCTATAATTTGGATCAAAAATCACACATTTGGTCAGTGGGACTTGTTTATCAGATAGATGTGTACGTGTGTATTTTATAGGTCGCACGAGCCTGTCCCCGGGATATGGTATCGATATCACGTTGGACCGGATCGGGCCAGCCTTTCACTGCAACCGCATCTTGCATGGTGGCTTGACCTCACAGACTCCCACTGATGGAAGGGAGAGGGTCATCAGCTCTGGATCCACAAGCCATGCATATGCATGCCCGGCCTCGTACTCGCAGTTGGAAAGAGGGAAAAGAAAACGCCAGATATTTTTCAGAAGCATGAATGATGAATGATGAATGATGAATACTTACTCGGATCCCACCATCTCACCACCCCCCAGAGGCGATCTGATCCTTTACCCTCGCGCCCCCATTCCGCCGCACCGGTAATCAGCTCTCCCGACCTCTGTGACGGGTCTTGCTCGTAGCTGACGATCCAGATCTTGTTGTAGTCCCAGAAACTCTTGACGACCTTCTGGTGCCAGACGGAGAGGTAGTCGTCCGGAAATTGTTTCCGGTAGGGGAATATGTGGTCGTTGAGTTCCTCGTCGTAGAAACTCAGGGAGAGGATCTTGGAGATTGCCCCGAGATCCGAGTGCTTTGCCAGGCGGATAGGCATGTTTTGATTTGTTCACTGTCTCGAAGAGGGGACGAATGTAACGAAGGAGGCGTGCAAATACAAGGATACTGGTAGAGTCGAATGGTTGGTCGGCTGGTTGGTTCGGACGTTGGCCTGGGTTCCAGTATCTCAGACGATGGCCCCCACAGTCCTGGCACAAGTTGACACTGCAAGAAAAAGAAACCCTTGCTTCCCCCTGGGTGACCAGGATTCTTCGTCAACAATCCTTCTGATGATTGAAACCAAGATATCCTTCAAACGCGAACCGGTCCCCTCAGGTAAGCAGCCAGGCAGGCCGGGCAAGGCCAGGCGAAGCAGGGTACTGTTTGTCTGGTCGCTTCCCGTCGATCAACTCGGCACAGTACCGAGCACTCGTTCTCGAGGACAAGGTGGACAAGGTACAAGCATGTAGTAAGCACTCAAAAATCCCGGCCCTCGCCTTCACCCTCGCCCTCGGCCGGCCCCCTGTCACGCAGTGTGGTTTCACTAGGGTACTGGGTACTGGGGTGAATTCTCCGCTCACGCAAGGCCCGACCGACCGACCGACTGACCACCTGAGCTGCACGTGGGAAAACGATGTGGAATCTGCACAGGATCGCAAAAAGAAAAAAAAAATTGTGGACAAGGGGGAAACGAGGGAAGAGATCCTGCCGACAACGTGGGAATCCAAAGTAACTAAGTGATGGAGTCAGGCACCACACAGGTCAGGTACGGGAGCAGGGGAGTCAATAATAATTCAGGTACAAGAAACTTTAGCATGGCATCTTAAAACCTAGTCGTAGTCGCACTCCCTAGGTACATAGATAGTGTGAGATAGAGAAAAAAAAAAGGGGAGCAGACCCAGACAAAACCGCCAGGTAACTCCACTACTTGAGGGTCCTCGCAAAGGTCCCCCTTGGATACATGACTGTGGATTGTGTGACGGTGAAAACAATCTCACCAGACGGCTTTACAAAAGATACGAACGAATCGTACCAAATCCAAAAACGCTTATGTAGCTTCGCTTGCACGAAAACAGTCGAGTCTAAAAATCAAGTTATTGACATTAGACAGCGAGCTATGAGACTTCGCCACCGAGTATCCCGTCCCAAGGGGAGACATAGGTACTTCGGGTACAGGTGCAAGTACTGTAGGTACTCGTAGCGACCACAGTCGGGGAGCCTTGGAAGATTCTGCATCAGCATTGATCGGGACAAGCGTCAGGCACAGGACGGCAACGTCGAGAGCCGAGAAACACATTCTCTCGTGCCAAAGGACAGACTGCAGGACCATTCCAAACTCGTCTAAGCGAGCTAGTACCTACGAGGTTGGTGGTCATCATCGTTGACAAAGAACGACCGTGCATGTTTGCGCAAGAGAAGAGAGAGAGAGAGAGAGAGAGAGAGAGAGCATGGGCAGGGGGAAAAAACGTGCGGGAAGGATGCCAGAGCCCAGCATAGGCCCAACTGGTGTTCGTAAGAGAAACATCGTTCGGCATCGAGCCTTTCGCACCTCGATAAGAAATGATCAGCAAGAGAAGTGGATTGGATTTAGTTGGGTGACCAAGAGATTCAGCTACGGGTACTCGAGGGACAAGGATAGCAAAGGTCCTCGCAACACGAACCATCGTGGGGGGGAAGGAGGCGTCGCCAATGGAGTTGGCTAGAGAACCAGAGACCCAGAGACCCATGCATCGTATGGAGCCTCTCCAACAGAGACGCGGTAGGGCGCGATCCCCTGACGGCTTTCTCCCGAAATTGCATGAATCGGAATCAATATTAGCAATTGGCCAACCGTCGGTCATGATTGAAGGCTGGGGTGGCAAGGGGTGGAGGCATCAGCAGTCCATGGTGATTCTGCCCTCCCGAACTTCTGTCGCAGTGTCCACCAACAAAGATGGCCGACCATTCACGGTTTTCCGGACCGAGGATCGAGCCTGTCCAAGAATGCGCTGGGTCTGGCCAAAGAAGCGGTGTACCAAGTCTGGTGGCGGCCAGACACTTTTTTCCCACAAGTCTTTTTCGTATTCTCGGGCACTTGTTTGCTCAGATGGTGGCGGCCATCGGGGAACAGAAACTGTCCTGATTTGTCGCCGGTAGCGTGCTTCTGCATCCCGACTTGTCACTGTGCCCGAGCAACCTGGCCTGAAAGAGGACGACGCGACAAAAAGGTGGCTTGACACTAGCATCTCTCAAGGTTTTTTGCTTTTAAACCTGCACAATGCCTTTTTCGCTGACCCGCATATCTGCCAGGATTTCTTTGGAAACGTTCTGCAGCTTGCATGATTAGATGCAGCTCTAGGTGCAGGGCGATGGGAGGCGATAGGATGAAGCGGGGAGGGGAGGAATGAGAGTGAGTGGCCCGTGAACTGGTTGCGAAGACCCCCCTGCAAAGTCCCTTTGTTAGCAGCAGTTTGTACCGAATGCGAGCCCATGTACACACCTGGTAAGGATCATCGTCGGGTCGTGACAATTTAGCTGAAGGAGTGGGGGGTTCGTGAAAGAAGTACGTGAATGAATCATGGACACGTCGTCCTACGATCGAGAGACCGGGTTGCGTCTTTGTCAGGGTGTCTGTCTGGTTGTGTGACTTGTCTGAGCTGTGGTCGGGGGGTGTGGAGGGATGGAGGATGGCTGCGGCTAAGAGTGCATGCAGCTGCGTCAAATCCTTCAAGTGTCGAGTGTGTGTAGTCCGTGGTGTGCAGTGTCTGTGCGACAGTCTCCTATGTACAACCAATACTCTACACACCTATCTATTTGTCTACAAGCTACTCAAACACGTCACGCTATTTCAGGAAATTCAGCACATACTTTTACTTGCTTCACGTAACTCGTTGGAACATCCCATTTCAAACCCGATTCAAAGGTCACCACAAAGACTTCCAAGATTGACACACCTAAAAACCCCCCAAAGGGTATCCGGATCCATCAGATTCATCCAGTACAGTCCCTCTCTGTAGCCAAACGTTTTCCTCCATGATAGCCGGTAGCCAAAGATGATATAAAACATTGCCAATGGGTCCAATTTTCTTTTTCTTGTAACACCTTGTGTTGCGCCACTGACCGCGTGTTGACATATCACAATTCGATGAACTCCCCCCGATACGAGCAAGAGTAGTTACACGAGTGGAAGCAGGACGGATTGCTTATGAAGGGCCTGAGTTCTCGTAATGGACCCGCCACTGCATGTCCTTGCGAATGATCTTTGCTTCACTGTTCTGGCTTTCTTGAGACTGTCCTGATCGCGCGTCCGGGTCGACCGCCTTGCCCCAGTATGCCGTGGTGTTGTGCTGGACCCTGTCAGGCCGGAAGTTGGGATTTTTCTCAGCGCTATCAATTTCATCTTCGTCCATTGACCTTCTCTTGCTTCGGTTCATACTGCTCTTGTTGGTTCTGTTCGTCTTGGTGAATGATTTGAGAGGGATCGAGGCTTGCGCTTGGGCATCTCTGTCTCTGCTCGCCTGTGAGAGGGTGGTGTCCATCCACGCGCCACCCATGTGTGTGTTGAACTTTCGAAGACCACGATTGAGGGCAGGCAGGGCCGCCGAGGCCATTGCAAAGAGGACCAGGACCTGTCGGTAAACAGTAGGGGTCACGATCTCGATACCAGGGTTCGACGAGTGGACGGTCACGTATATGTAGTGGGCATGGAGACCGATCAATGCAATGACGCTGTCGCGTGTGAGCAGGTGAGTGATTGATGCGGGCTTGAGGTGTTTTGACTTACGCTAATCTTGGGGCAAAGGTGAGGAGAACCGAGATTTTACGGTCCGTACTCATGTGAAGCGGCAAGACTACGACCATTGACAGGACGAAGATCAGGACCTCAGTGATTCCGTCCACAACGGCGACTGCGGTCCATCGTTTGGTCTAAGTGGATCAGCGGCCTGAAGTCAACAGAGAACGGATACATCGGAAACGTACCAGAGTTGGACAGAATGAGGTATTGTATCCAAGCTGTTGGAGCGAGTCGCAATCAATGGTGAGCGCCAGAATGGCTCCTATGCACCAGAGACCACAGACGACGGTCATGGTGTCGCACAACGTCCGGTGCCGTTTCATGTTGATACTGAACAATTTTCGACACAGAAGAATCACGCAGCTTTTGGTGAGGAACAGATCGACCAAGAATAACACGATCGAGCCGAGCAGCAGCTGTTAATTTCGGTCAGCGAAACTGCCTTGTAGTCAAGATCAGGTTTGGAAGGTTGTGTATATACCCTGCTGATAGAACTCGCATCCGAGGAAGTAATGTCCTCATATGATTTCCCAAACCCATGGGACACGGCTATCCAGACCAGAACACTATGTAACAGTCCTACTACCTGTTTGCAGTGGTCAGCCAATCTACCTTCTCTTTCTCCGAATTCCAGGAGCAATGTGCCAGCCTTATACATACAGCCACGGCAATGGCCAATCCATCATCAAGACCGATGCTTTTGTTGGTGAACGTGCCCCGGAGGGCAAGGATCATGGGGACATAGGCGGCGCTTATGACGGAGACGACCAGAATGACGCCGCGATGATCATCGTCAGTCACGCGAAAATATCGATTGCCCGCTACCGTCGGGTCGGTGGTTGTTGAATCTGTCATTGTTGCCGTAGGGCTGGCAAGAGAAGTTCTGGAGATGCGGCATCAACGACATTAATCAAGAACGGCCACAGGAAGAGGATCCCCTTTTGATATCAAGGTTTAGCTCAAGACTTTAAATCACGCTCCGAGTACCCCCTTTGGAGAAAACGGTGGTGCTGGCTGGGCGTGGACAAGAGGTGCGTCAGATAACAGGCAAATCCAGGCCAGACGAAGTTGCGTCTTGCGTGGGTTTGAAACTACTGAAAAACTCAGATACGGGAGGTTCATTTGGGGTGGGTTGGTTTTTTGGCCAGGGTTGGGCGTAGGGCAGTGGCACCACTGGACGATGAGGATCAACAGGTCTAGCGGTCATTGAGAAGCGAGCAGCGAACAAACCCTGGGAGGGATCGCTTGGATCGCTAAGGGTGGCAGAGAAAACTGAGGAGTCG